CGGCGGCACGCACCGCCCCCGCCCGCGCCCCTGTGGCCTCTGATTGGCTACGGCCGGCTCTTAAAAGACGCGGCCAATGGCTGCGAGCGCCAGAGGCCGGGGAGCAGGCGAGCAGCTGGCTGTCGGTCGTCTTCTCCGGCGTGGGTGGGAATGGCTACCGGGCCCGGAGAGCAAGCGGCGGCCAAGTGCCCGGGTGGATCGCGGCGGGCGGCGGCGGGGCTCGCCCTTTGTCTGCGCCCTTCCAAAATGGCTGCGGCCAGGGCGGGCGGGCGGGCGGCGGCGGCAGCGCGGTGCTCCCGAGGCTCGGGCGACCGCTCAGCGAGGAGCAGGAGTCCTGGCACGAAGGCGCTTTCGGGGCGGCTAGAGGTGTGCGCAGGACGCCGCGGGCGCGAGGTCTGCTCCTCTGACTTATGGCCGTGGGTACGAGGACGGTGAGCACCCGGGCGAAGCTGGACGTCCGGAAGCAGATTTGTTCTGTATTTACTTTTTTTGGGGGGGAGGAGGTAATAAATCCTCTCAACTGATGTTTGCGAGCACTTTGTGGGAGTATTTTAGTTACCATTTCACCCCTTTCTTTCTGGGTGTTTGGTTTTTTTTAACCAGAAGGTCGTGTTAGGAGACGTTTCCAAGGGTTTCATATATATATATATATATATATATATATATATATATATATATATTTTAAAGGCCGAGAAACAAATTCGAGACGGCAAAGCCCCTTGTTGGAACCTCGCTGCTACCTCGCAGGGTCATCGCCACTTCTGAAGAGACCTGCTATAGTCGGCGCAGATCCAGCACTGTGGATGAGGGGTTTGACGTGGCAAATGATTTTTTTTTTTCTTTCCTGCCTTAAAAGAGACTCTTTCACCAGTACACACCTGCAATCCCAGCTCTTGGAAGATGAAGGACAAGGAATTCAACCTATGTTATATGTTTATTTGGAGGCCAGCCTGGGGCCTCATGAGGCCCTATTTCTGAAAGGTGGGGTGAGGACTCTTCTCTGAAAAGCAGAGCATGGCCGAGCCCATGTGCTGATCCTGTCCTAATCTCTCTGGCTTATTAATAACTGTAGTACAAACCCCACCTCCTCTCTGAGCCTCAGTGAACCTAAGGAACTGTGCACACGGAAGCCCAGGAACTGGGCACCCTCCTGCAAAGTGTGCTGGGGGGTCCTAACAGAAATTCTGTTCTCAACATTGGCCCCAGGTTGGGAAAGTCCGTAAAAAGAGGCAAACAATGAGGAAGCAGGTTGGGTGCTACAAGCCAGTGTGGGCTTGTGTGCCCTCTCCAAGGAGTACCCGAGCTTGGCTTTGGCTTGGCACCAGAGCAGAAGTTTAAAGTTGTGAATGAAACCTAAGAGTCTTCTGGTGGCACAGGAGAGCATACTCAGGGCCAATGGCATGCTCGGTGGGCACAGTACTGCTGCGTGACATGCTGCCAGCCCCAAATCGGCATTTTTAAATGTTGATGACTGGTTGGAAGATTTTAAAGGAGATCAAACCATCAGCAGGTTCTTTGTAATCCCACTGGTGTGTTGGTTAATAGGAACCACCAGCTAGGTGTACAGCAATCTGCACCTCAAAACCCTTAGATGAGAGGGGAGCAAAACAATGGATGCCTATTTTAAAAAAAGCCTATAAAAAAGTCTGGAGCTCCCACCAAGGGCCTGTGTGACTGGCACTTCCATCGCCACACCCCAGCACTGCATGTCCATTTCTGCCACGGTTCTAAGCTCTTTCTTGAGGGTAAGCACAGTCATCTCCATAGAGCAGTGGCTTCTGCCCCTCTGAGGCCCACCAGGACTTCTCTGGTGTGGTCCCTAATCTCTTCAAGATGGACTCAGCCTCCTACTGTGCCTAAGCATCTGCTGATAGCACAGCCCCTGGGCTGCACCTAAGTTGCAGGTATAGGGTTAAGGTGCCCACAACACCTTAATTCTTTGCTGAAGAGTCCAGTGCTAGAGCCACAGCTCAGGTGGCTGTTTTCCAGAGCACTGCCCCTAAGACTGAAGTGAATGGAGGTAAAAACCATGTGTCTCCTCCAAATATATATGCAAGGGGCAGCAGACACTGCCAGCCTCTTAACCATTGTCACTCTGGAGACTAAAGGACAACCGTTCTTTCAATGTCTCCATCGACACATTGCCAGAGGCCATTACAACTTGCGTAGTTTGAAGCTGACAATCCCAGAACTAGCCTTAAAAGAAATGGAAGATTCATTAAGACAAATAAAATTATAAAACACCTTTAGTTGGAGGTGTGGGGCTCAGCTTGTAGAGTTCGTGAGTGGCATGCACAAACCCTGGGTTTCATCCTCAGCACTTCATAAATTAGGTGTGGTAGTACATACTTGTAATCTCAGCACTTGAGCAGTGGAAACAGGAATGACAAATTCAAGGCCAGACTCTGCCGTTCAGAAAGCTCTGGCCAGCCTTGGCTACCTGAGACCTTGTTTTTAGCTTTTTGTTTTTCAAGACAGGGTTTATCTTGGTAGCCCTAGCTGTTGTGGAACTCACAGAGATCTGCCCGCCTCTGCCTCCCAAGTGCTGGAATTAAAGGTGCATGCAACCACCACTCAGTGAGACCTTGTTTTTAAAAAAAAATAAAAGGAAAACACCATGCTTAAATGTGGAAGAATGTGACTAGTGAGTGACAGAATAGGAATCAGCACACCATGATGCTAATGAACAGGGATGTGGGCATAAAAAGGCAGATTCCCAAGCCAGTAACTTTTTAAACCAAAGTGGAGACATTCAGTTAAATATGAGACTAAATAACCAAAAGCTACCATGTCTGTACTGTTCTGTGAATAACACAGCACTGTGTCACCCATGCTTTTACTGTGTACCTGAAATCCTTGCCATAAGATGGGCGTGGGGGGGGGTGTGACTGCAGGGACATACATGTAGAGGCAGAGGACAACTTTTGGGAGTCGGGGTCTCTCCACCATACATAGGTCCCAGATATCAAATTCATATCAGGCTAATATGGCAAGTACTTTTACCTGCTTAGCCATCTCACCAGCCCCATAAGATTTTTTTTAAAAAAGGCATAGTGGAGGGCTAAGGAGATGGCTCAGTTGGTAAAGTTATAAGGATATGAGTTAGATCCCAGCATCCACGTGAAAAGGCTGAGGGTAGCAGCATGCTTCTGTAATCCTAGCTATGGGGAGGTGGAGACCACAATATTCCTGGGTCTCACTGGCCCAGTTAGTGTAGTGAAATACCCTGTCTCAAAAAATAATGATTGAAGCCGGGCAGTGGTGGTGCACGTCTTTAATCCCAGCACTCAAGAGGCAGAGGCAGGCGGATCTCTGTAAGTTCGAGGCCAGCCTGGTCTACAGAGTGAGTTCCAGGACAGGCTCCAAAGCTATACAGAGAAACCCTGTCTTGAAAAAATAAATAAATGATTGAGGCACACACCTGCACACCTGACGTTGACCTCTAACCTCCATGAATGCACACAAACACACACAGAGAGAGCTAGATGGCAGCTGGAGGCCTCTAGCTGGTTCCCTCTTTCGGGGTGACTTTATCAAGCCAGCCTATCCTTGGTTGTGCAGACTCAAAGGGATGTGCCCCTCAAAGAGATCCACAGCCAGGGAACTGGATCCTAACCACAAACAGCTGTGTAGCAGGTGCATGTATTTCTCAGTGTATGCCTGAACAACAGATGTATTATCCTATGGTTCTAAAGACAGAGGGCTAAAATTTGGCATGGGTAGGGTTGTATTCCTGGGGCCTAGAGGATGGGCCTTCCTTGCTACCTCCAGCTACTGTTGGCTCCGAGGCATCCTTGCCTTGTGGTGGCATCAATCTAT